TGTGTGCAATCAGTGCAATGAATGATGGGATATGTAGTCCGGGGTGATATGCAACAGTGTGTAGTGCGAGAGTCAATGAAAATGGAAGGGTGACCTCTGATGGCTAGCAGACGGAAGTTCATGGACCGGATACGTAACAGATAGACAGATATATAGACAGATAGATATATATACAGACAGACAGATAGACAGAGAGATATATAGATAGATAAATAGACAGACAAATATATAGACAGATAGATAGACAGAAAGATAGACAGACAGACAGACAGATGTAGATAGATAGACAGACAGACAGATAGATACATAGATAGATAGATAGACAGACAGACAGACAGACAGATATATAGATAGACAGACAGACAGATATATAGATAGATAGATAGATAGATAGATAGATAGATAGATAGATAGATAGATAGATAGATAGATAGATAGATAGATAGATAGATAGATAGATAGATAGATAGATAGATAGATAGATAGATAGATAGATAGATAGATAGATAGATAGATAGATAGATAGACAGACAGACAGACAGACAGATATATAGATAGACAGACAGACAGAGACAGATATATTGACAGACATAGACAGATATATAGATAGATAGAGACAGATATATAGACAGATAGATAGACAGACAGACAGATATATGCAACAGTAAAATTTGTTAATTGACTAAACTGTAAGTTAATTTATGGTTTTTATTTATAAAAAAAAAAAAAATTGACAGTATTTTACAGTAAAATTACATATAATGTGATTAACGTAACAAGGGTTAATTAATGTGAAACACATATTGCTCATGGTTAATGTTAAGTAATGCATTAACAAATGTTAACGAATGAGACCGTATTGTAAAGTATGGGGTCATGTGATGTGCAGCGGGTCGTTAGTGCAGACTCGTGTCTCTCGTCCAATCAGAAGCTGAGCTTGTTGAGCCGCTGGTCTTCATCAGACGCGATAAAAACCATTACGCCTATGGAATGTCCCCATAAAACATGGAAACACAACATGTGTATGTGCGTGTGTGTCTGTGTGTGTGTTTGTAATGGTGAGTCAGTGTGTTGAATTTGGCAGCAGCCTGATTGAAACAGATATAGATTAATTAGCAATGCTAATTAAGATGAATTAAGCTGCTCCCTTAATGAAGTGGCTCCTCTTTAATCAATTACCGTCACTGCGCTGATTTGAACGTGTTGATAAACACATTAATGTATTCCATATGTCTGATAAACACAGCCGTGTGTGACGGCGAGACTCACTCATCTGCTCTCTGAACACGTTCGTCACGGGTCTGAACACGCAATAATCTTGTCATGACCCGTGTTCATACGCCACAAAACCACAGGTATCTGCTGCTTTTGAGAGAAAAAGGCTCTAATTGTGATTTTTTTTCTGATTAAAATTTGTGATTTAAAGTTTTAACAAATTTATTTATTTATTTATTTATTTGTAATTTCTAAAATAAAATCTTCTTAATATTGTTCGATTTTTGTAATTTCTAAAATAAAATCATTATTATTATTATTAATATTATTATTATTATATTTTTGTAATTTCTCAAATAAAATTATTATTATTATTTTATTATTTTATTTTATTATTATTATTTTATTATATATTTTTGTAATTTCTAAAATAAAGTCTTACACTTATTTTCAGCTAGTTCCCAAGGTAACATTTTTTTTTGTTAAACTTGTAGTAAATATATTCAAATAACTAAAACTAGAACTGATATAAAAAGAATAAAAACTATATAAACATATTTTTTTAAACAGCACAAAAACACACAACAAAATTACTAAAGCTTTGACTAAAATTAAAGTGAAAACAGAAAATATAAAAAATAAACAAAATAAGAAATATTATAAATAAATTATAAAATAATTATAACGTTAAATATTATTATTGTTGCTGTTGTTATTTAAATAAAAATATACAAAATGTGTATTGTAATTTAATTCAATTCATGTTTATCTGTATAGTACTTTTCACGATACAAATCGCTGCAAAGCAAGCAGCTTTACAGAAAATTAAAGTTTCTACATTATATTTAGTAGCAGCTTATCAGTGGTGACTATCTCAAGCTGACGTCCATATGGCAGAAATGTACAGTAAAAAATCATGAAACGTTTTGGACAGTTTTACAACTCAAAAGTGTGTCAGAACGCAATACGTTTCATTCACAGTAACTCACTTGACTGACAATCCAACAGTCCAGAAGTGCAGAGAATGACTGGGTTTATCGTTTATTTGGGGTTTATCGTCCACAGGTTCTGCGTTCATGATGGTGAACTCGACGGCTCGGTTCGCGGGTCAGAAGGCTTTGCTCTTCACGCCGCAGCTGAAGGAGAACGACACACACTGCGTCATTTTCCAGTATTACGTGGCGGGACGAGAGGGAGGACGGCCTGGGCATCTGAACATCTACATCAAGGAGAACAACAGCCCCATGGGTTTGCCTGTGTGGAACACGTCTGGACCGGCCCGACGCAGCTGGAGCCAGGTGGAGCTCGCCATCAGCACATACTGGCCCAACTTCTACCAGGTGAGATTCACTCACACACAGGGTCGGGAATCGAAAATCAATGCCAATTCCAGAATCAGATACTTAAAGGGGTCATCGGATGCTACATGCACTTTTACAAGTTGTTTGAACTGAAATGTGTTGGCAGTGTGTACACAACCACCCTATAATGATAAAAATCCACCCAGTGTTTTTTTTTAAAAATCTCGTTAAATCATTTCCCCTTTCTCAAAACCAAGCCGATCTCAGATGCCTGTCTATGTGACGTCACACAGACAGGCCCAGTTACGACGCTGAACGTTCAATGCAAACAGAGATATCGTCTTTTACAATTATGGCAGTTTAATGCCTACAAAAACGGCTGGTAAGGGACTACAACAATCTTCTTCCCGGGTTCGTGACGTCACAAACCCTGAAATTTACATAAACCCGCCCCCAGGAACATGCAAGAAAGGGGGCGGGGCCATGTTGCGCTACTTTAGAGAAGAGGAAGAGTTGTTGCCATGCCGTCAAAACTAGGGGTGCGTGCATGAAAAAATATATTAATATATGAATCGTGATTCTGTCTTCTAACAATTCTAATGGATTCACAAGTTTCACAATCGATGTTCTAAAGCAGCGGTTCTTCATCCTGTTCCTCGGTCCCCTGCTCTGCATCTCTCTCTCTTTCACCTAATCATCTGCTCGTCAGCTCCAATAAACTATGTTCCAATTATACGCTTTGTGTATAGACAGACAGATATTTTTCATATAGCTATGAGAAGCATTAAACATGGACGCGCATGCGTTTGCTGTGCTGCATTAAAGCTTTCACATTAAACACAATCAAGCCTAGAAAAAAAACAGTGAACCATCTCTTTAAAATTTCAATTCCACCTATCAATTCCTGTGTGCGCATTTTTAATTTTTAGCTGGTGAAAAGGGGCTGTTAACAATGTATTTGTCTTTGAGTCATTCATTCAAGAGATTCATTCAAAAACACTGAATCATCCAGTAATGAAACGAGTCAATCCCCAGTGAGTCATTGAATCATTCCATTCAGAAATTCCACAAGATTTTTAGTTGTCTAATATTTTTTCTTCAGAATTGTGAGAGAACTACAAACTCTATTTAAAAAAAAAAAAAAGTCTCAATTTATCCAGAATCATGCAGCTCTATATTACACACAAACAGCTCTTAATCGAGTCCAGTTTTTATTCATGGTGTTCAGCAGCAATTAAATGTTTTGCAAAAAGAGACACACAAAAATTGTGATCCTGCAGCACAAAAGCAGTGTTAAGTCGCTGGGGTATATTTGTAGCAATAGCCAACAATACATTGTATGGGTCAAAATTATACATTTCTCTTTTATGCCAAAAATCATTAGGATATTAAGTAAAGATCATGTTCCATGAAGATATTTTGTAAATTTCCTACCGTAAATATATAAAAACTTAATTTTTGATTAGTAATATGCATTGCTAAGAACTTCATTTGAACAACTTTAAAGATGATTTTCTCAATATTTAGATTTTTTTGCACCCTCAGATTCCAGATTTTCAAATATTGTCCTATCCTAACAAACCATACATCAATGGAAAGATTATTTATTCAGCTTTCAGATGCATGCACCCTTATGACTGACCCTTATGACTGGTTTTGTGATCCAGGGTTACAAATATGTTTGATATTTAAATGTTTGACTTTTTTTTTAACACATTGGAATCGAAAATTGGAATAGATAAGAATCGGAATCAATAAGCAGAATCAGAATTGGAATTGATAAAATTCAAATGATACCCAACCCCTACACACACCTCCGTCTGGATCAAACACACATCAGAGACGGGCTCTGTGCCATGCAGACTGAAATATCTGGTGGTTTGGTGACATTATCTCTAGACGATTTGTGATGAGGACTATGGTAACATCTGTAAGAATGAGCTGAAAATAAGCACATCAAATGCCATTTCTATTCGAAACATGTTAGCTGTCATGTTATATTTTATAAAGAAAACTCAGAGGCTGTTTGATTTTTGAGAACTTGAAAAATAGATCTGAGCTACAGGACCAGCAGGAAAACACCCCTGGCTGCACAGTTTGGGGGAAAATATAATTGCAAATTTTCTGATTTAAAAAAAAAATTATAATAATGTAAAGCCCCAGTTGGGTTGCACAATTTGTTCAAAATGTTGTGATTAAATAATAATAATAATAATAATAAATACAAACAAATTAATTAATTAGTTACTTAGGTAATTATAATAAAATAAGAAAAACATACCGTTGTAATATTTTGCTGTAAAATAAAATCAGTTGAAGGAAAATAATGTGATAATTCCATTTTACAGAACAATGGTAAAATTACAATACTAATATTTATAGCTGTCTTAATTCTTCATATTTATATTCATATTCTTAATACTTCTACACAAACACCCTTAAGGACTGCACTATTTGGTAAAAACTATTATTAGTAGTAGTAGTATTATTTCTGATTAAAAATGGATTTACTGCACAATTTGGGTAAACGTTTTTTACAGTACAACAGTAAAATTACTGTTCTAATATCTATGGCTGTCTTAATAAATTTTTCAGTTTTAATTTAATTAATCATGCAGCCCTTACCTTACCAACAGCTCGTTTGTGTGTGTGTGTGTGTGTGTGTGTGTGTGTGTGTGTGTGTGTGTGTGTGTGTGCGAGTGTGTGTGCGTGTGTGTGTGTGTGTGTGGTCAGATGGGTATTGGCCACATGTTATTTTCTGTCTTTCTGTCACCTGACCCTCAATTTCAGGTGAATATAATGAAAATCTGGCCTTCGGTGAGAGAGAAAGAGAATCACATTTTCTGCTCCTGTAGCTCTTCATTTTCACATGTGCTGAAGAGAGAGAGAGCGACGGCTCTGATTTCACACATGCTGGTCATTAGCAAGTGGCTCTCATGGGTGCTGACGGAGCCCCGTGTTAATTGGTGGAACGAGCCCCGGTGACCCGGCGCAGGAGAAGCGTGTTTGGGTAAATTACTCCATTAGAGCGGCGCTGAGGAACGGGCGAGAGAGGTTATGACGAGACCCGGCCTGATTAGGAGAAACAGCGGCAGACCCTGCCATACGTGATCATGACGTCTCGAGGAGTTTGAGAAGATTCATAAACCAGATCAATGATTCTGTTGGGTTCTGGCACATTATTCATGCTTTACTGAACTTTTGATTGCATTAAATTAATTAAAATTACTTTACTCATTTACTCTAATGGCGTTTCAAACCTTTAGTGGTCACATCTTTTAAAAGACACCTAATATTCAGTAATATTATTGATTGGACGATCAGATGAGAACAAAACTTGATCTGAATTGATCGGAATAATGACTCCGAAATTTGTTTCATAATTGATGGATATTTCAAATATACAAAAAAATGGCCAAACATATTTGCTAAAATATGTTTCAAAGTATATTTGTGTAAATACTGTATATTTTTTCATCCATTTTTGTATATCTTGAAATATATTTATTAAAATATATTTTTAAAAATATATATTTTTCCTTCCATATATTTCAATATGAATTTAGCCTAAATGTAGGTTGTTGTAAGATTAGAAATGTATTTTTTTTTACCCCCTTAAATACATTTTGAAACTACTGTAAATATATTTCAAATTTCAAAAATATATTTAATTGAGCCTCATTGTTTACAACATATATTTAGCATATGAATAGAATGTAATTTGCCCTGTTTTTGCCGAATGGGCTGCTGTAGTGGAAAATTATTTATTTATTTATTTTTAGATTTTATTTTTTTTGACTCTCTGTTCATTTTAATATTTCCATGCAAATAATATTACTTTTACGTGAATCTTTGCTTCATGCTTATTTTATTATAATGTAAGTTTTATGTGTTTGCATTTAAAAACGGTCTAGTTACAAATGTTCCTCTGCCGAAATTCCAAATAAAAACATTTTAACACGAGAAATAAAGCTGCTAAAGCAGCAGAAGTCCATGCAACCCTGATCTGACCTGAAGTTCTTCATTCACACACATGTACACGAGAGTGTAGTGAGTACCGCGGTAAACGGAGACTGTCCGTCTGTGGTTTTAACCTCAGCAGCCTAAAATATGTTCCTTCACTGGTGTTCATGAAAACATCCAGCACATTTGTCAGAAAGACGCACCCACACACATTCCGGCTTTGGGAGCGGTTGAACATGCACATATCTGACATCGATGAGTATAACGGGCCCTAGGAGACGCCCATTTGCTGGCGTCTGTATTTCTTCCTTTCTATTCTTAGAGATATTTCCATCCCGTCTGCGTTTAGGAATGATCTCAAATGTTGCTCGATTAGTTGGACTGGATGATGTTTGATCTCTAACTAGCGTGTGTTATTAAGGCTCTTGAAAGGATTCCAAATGCATCGCTCTGTGTTATAAGAATAGAGCGGATGTGTATCTAATTAGCAATGTCAGGATAATTATAGGTCGCTTTAATTGCACCGTATCGTAAGTGATCGTCAAAATGAAACCACCTGGTGCTTTGGACATTATTTTGTAATTACAGGCTTGATTTTATGTTTTTCTCGCTAGAAAGACGCGGTTGAAGCCGCCGTGCTAATTGGTGCGATCAGGTCAGCGATCAGAACTTTTAATTGATTGTGACAGGCGTTTAGTTTTTATGCGTTCTGCGTTTGTCCCGTTCAGACGTCCTTGTGAGCATCTTTGACTCCGGAAACAGCTGCTCTACAGGTTAGCTCAGATTTAAGTGCAACCAAACATCTTCAGTCCTGAGATGCTAATTGTAATTCCAGTGTAATGTCATTAGCGCGTTGAGAAGTTTGTTTGCTTCTCGACACGCTTGCTTGGAAAAGCTTCATCTGAGTCTTTGCGGGGGCCGCTGTGTGTCGAGCTGGAGTCAGACAGAAGATGCTGCTATTTTAATGTTTAAAGAGTTGATTGCCTTTGTTTCTATAACATTTAATACAGTTCAGATTATATAAATTGTTAGAGAAGGATGAGAGCACAAACGCCATCCCGGGGCTTTCACAGTCTGTTCATGAGACAAGACTGAGATGATAATGAGACTCATCTGAGCACTGTTTTCACCTGTGTGACAAAGCTCATCTCTCTTCTCATCTCATTCTCTTGTCTCATCTCAGCTCTCATCTACTCTTCTCTTGGATATCTTGATTAATTTTGTCTCGCCTCGTCTCGTCTCGTCTCATTTCGTCTCGTCTCATTCTCTACTTCTGTCTCATCTCAGCTCTCATCTAGTCTTCTCTTGAATATCTTGATTCATCTCATCTCGTCTTGTCTCATCTTGTCTCATCTCATCCTCTACTCTTGTCTCATCTCAGCTGTCATCCCCTCACCTCATCTCGTCTCGTCTCATCTCATTCTCTACTCTTGTCTCATCTCAGCTCTCATCTAGTCTTCTCTTGAATATCTTGATTCATCTCATCTCGTCTTGTCTCATCTCATTCTCTACTCTTGTCTCATCTCAGCTCTCATCTAGTCTTCTCTTGAATATCTTGATTCATCATATCATATCTCATCTCGTCTTGTCCCGTCTTGTCTCATCTCATTCCCTACTCTTGTCTCATCTCAGATCTCATCTAGTCTTCTCTTGAATATCTTGATTCATCATATCTCATCTCGTCTTGTCCCGTCTTGTCTCATCTCATTCCCTCCTCTTGTCTCATCTCAGATCTCATCTAGTCTTCTCTTGAATATCTTGATTCATCATATCTCATCTCGTCTTGTCCCGTCTTGTCTCATCTCATTCCCTCCTCTTGTCTCATCTCAGATCTCATCTAGTCTTCTCTTGAATATCTTGATTCATCATATCTCATCTCGTCTTGTCCCGTCTTGTCTCATCTCATTCCCTCCTCTTGTCTCATCTCAGATCTCATCTAGTCTTCTCTTGAATATCTTGATTCATCATATCTCATCTCGTCTTGTCCCGTCTTGTCTCATCTCATTCCCTCCTCTTGTCTCATCTCAGATCTCATCTAGTCTTCTCTTGAATATCTTGATTCATCATATCTCATCTCGTCTTGTCCCGTCTTGTCTCATCTCATTCCCTCCTCTTGTCTCATCTCAGATCTCATCTAGTCTTCTCTTGAATATCTTGATTCATCATATCTCATCTCGTCTTGTCCCGTCTTGTCTCATCTCATTCCCTCCTCTTGTCTCATCTCAGATCTCATCTAGTCTTCTCTTGAATATCTTGATTCATCATATCTCATCTCGTCTTGTCCCGTCTTGTCTCATCTCATTCCCTACTATTGTCTCATCTCAGCTCTCATCTAGTCTTCTCTTGAATATCTTGATTCATTTCATCTCGTCTTGTCTCATCTTATTCTCTTCTCTTGTCTCATCTCAGCTCTCATCCACTCTTCTCTTGAATATCTTGATTCATTTAGTCTCGCCTCGTCTAGTCTAGCCTCGTCTTATCTCGTCTCGTCTCATTTCGTCTCGTCTCATCTCGTTCTCTATTCTTGTCTCATCTCAGCTCTCATCTAGTCTTCTCTTGAATATCTTGATTCATTTCATCTCGTCTTGTCTCATCTTATTCTCTTCTCTTGTCTCATCTCAGCTCTCATCCACTCTTCTCTTGAATATCTTGATTCATTTAGTCTCGCCTCGTCTAGTCTAGCCTCGTCTTATCTCGTCTCGTCTCATCTCGTCTCGTCTCATCTCGTTCTCTATTCTTGTCTCATCTCAGCTCTCATCTACTCTTCTCTTGAATATCTTGATTCATTTAGTCTCGCCTCGTCTAGTCTAGTCTCGTCTTATCTCGTCTCGTCTCATCTCGTTCTCTATTCTTGTCTCATCTCAGCTCTCATCTACTCTTCTTTTGAATATCTTGATTTCTTTCATCTCGCCTCGTCTAGTCTAGCCTCGTCTTATCTCGTCTCGTCTCATCTCGTTCTCTATTCTTGTCTCATCTCAGCTCTCATCTACTCTTCTTTTGAATATCTTGATTTCTTTCATCTCGCCTCGTCTAGTCTAGCCTCGTCTTATCTCGTCTCGTCTCATTTCATCTCATCTCGTTCTCCATTCTTGTCTCATCTCCGCTCTCATCTAGTCTTCTCTTGAATATCTTGATTCATCTAATCTCATCAAACCTTGTCTCATCTCATCTCCTCTCATCTCACCTCTGCTCTAGTCTTTTCTCATATTATATTATCTCTCCTTTAGTCTAATCTCATTTGTGTTATATCATCACTTGTCTCTTCTCGTCTTGTCTCAACTCGTCTGTTCTCTTCTCTCATTCTCTGTTCTTATCTCATCTCAGCTCTCATCTAGTCACACCTCTTCATCTTGTCTCGTCTAGTCTCACCTCATCTAGCCTCCGCTCATCTCATCTTGTCTCACCTCACCTCTTGATTTGTCTTGTCTTTCCTCTCATATCACCTCTTCTCATCTAGTCTCACGACTCATCTCATCAAACCATGACTCATCTCTGTCTCGTCCAGGTCCATAAGAGTGGTAAGAGTCTGCTGATGACAGAAAACATTCTTCAAAATAACGTATTTTGTGTTTGACAAAAGAAAGAAAGTCATACGGGTCTGAAATAACTTTGGGGAGAGTAAAAGATAACAGAATCATAAATTTCGTTTAATAGTCCATATGATTTTGCTATATATTCCATGTCATCTAAGGTTTGGTTTATGTGATGAACAGATACATATTTGAATTCATTCAATTCACGATGTCAAGATCAGGGTTGCCAGGTTTTCACAACAAAACCCGCCCAACTGCAACTCAAAACTAGCCAAAAACAAGCCCAAATGCATTTCGAGGGGATCCCCAGTAAAAATCGCGTTCTGCGGGATAAAATTCAGGGTTTTTTGGCAGGGTTCCCCTAGTAAAATTCACATTCCAGGGGTTAAATATTACGTTATTGGGGTCACTTCAACCCGCGGACATGAAAAACAACCCATGGTAACATTGTTTAAGTAGTCCAATTCCACAGAGAAAATGCAGACTTGGCAACACTGGTCAAGATATACATTTACTTTATTGAATGGAACAGAGTAGCAGGAACATTTTTCGAAAACCTTGTTTTCCACAGAAGAAAGAAAGTCATACAAGTTTGAAACATCGTGAGGGAGAGTGAATGATGACAGAAAAATGTTTAATCAAAATTTGGTTTTAGAATTTTTAGGAAAAATGGTTCTTAAATATCTTAATTAGTTTCTATTTTTAAATTTTATAACTTAAGTATGGCTTTTGGCATTAAAATAGCCAAAGAAGCTGACATGGCATTAAAAACAAACTTTAAAACAATTATTGCAAAACCAAATCTACAAGTTTTTGGCTACAGCAGCTGATCTCAACTATATTTCTCTGTATATTTAATTTGATATGCTTTATCATGTCATATTCGCGGTCAACAGCTGGCGTGGGTCAGTGTGACCGTGACGTTGCCCTGCGCCAGAGAATACACACCGAATATGCATCATAATAGAAACCTTAGCAAAGAGCATGCATCCCAGAATCCTTCACTCGGCACTCTTTAGCCCTGACCCCCAGAGTCCGGCTGTCGAGTTGAATTGTTTGGCTGTATAAGCGAGCAGATTTAGCACATGCTGCCACAGCACCTCACTGATAGAGCCGTGATTTACCGCGTCTATAAACGCCGCCATCTGACAGACAACCGATTCACCATGAGCACCCTTGGAGCCCGCTCCCCTTACGCCGCAGATTTAACAAGTTTGGTCCAATAACTAAAGCCAAAGTCTAAATGTAGACTTATTATTGTCATTATTAGTATACATCACAACTGTACGCTAACATTATTTTTTTCTCTTATTTATTATTTCTCTCCCTATCATATATTAAAAGGCTGTGGAAAGTGTTTGCATTCTATGTTTATTCATATATCTGTCTTTGGTTTTGTTATAGGCTATTCCTTTTTGTTGGTGGTGGTGATGTTTGTTAAGTTTTCTGTAATTTGTTATGTCTACTGTCATTTTTCAATTTGTCACATTCTCAATTAAAAAAAAAATAATAATAAAAAAATTAATAAAAATAGTAATAATAATAAAATAAAATCCAGAGAAATAAACATTTATATAAAGTTGAAAGCAATTGAAAGTAATTTTTTTTACTTTTTTTTATGCTCATCAAAGGCAAAACAGAAAAATTGACATTGAGTGGATTCTTACTCAAAAAAAAAAAATTACATTATTGCATAAAAAATGACCAAGTATAATAAATAAATTAATAGTTGTGATAAAGAATTTGAAATGCATATAAATATCATTCATTCATAAAATTGTCATATATTTGGATTTTTGCATGAATAAACTAATAAAGTTAAAGGGGTCATGAAAAAAAAAAACAATAACTAAAGCCAAATGGTGTTTTAATGAGCACTTATGACCGTTGTGAATGGTGCTTTCCTCATCTTCGCTCACCGTTGTGTAAAGCCTCACCTTCTCGAACCCTGTGGGACTCCTGTGTGTGGCATTTTGAGAACGTGTCCATTTATCACTGTGCTTATGAGCTTTCTCTTTCCTCCGCAGATCGTCTTTGAAGCGGTGACCTCCGGGCAGCGCGGCTTGCTGGCCATCAAGAACGTGGTCCTCAAGGGCCATCAGTGCAGTAAGACTCTTACCGTCTCTGTCGTAAAAGCTCCCTCATCACCCGCGCCTTGGCCTTTTCCTGCCACCCTCCAAATATCAATATCGTCTGTCTTTCTCCAGGCATTGAAGTCGAGCCATAAAAGAGAGTGTAATAAAGAAAACAAAAGACAGAACAGAGGAGAGAAGAAGACGATAAAGCTTTCATGTAGTGCTGGAGAGATATCAGGGTGTAAAAGAGACGCTGTTAGCAGGATGAATGGAGGAGGGTGGAAAGGGTCAAGAGGGATTCTGCTGTCTACATAGGCAGCACACTTACAAGGCAGCTTCTTTTAACTGCTATGGAACCTGGGAACTTGATTTTAATAGATTTGTCAGTGTTTGATTGGATTAATATGTGGGTCAAAGACACATAAGCATCAAAATAAATTTACAAAAGTGGTTTAATGTCCATAGAAAGCACATGTATTTTTGATCAAATAAATGCAGACTTGGTGAGCAGAAGAGACTCTTTCAGAAACATATAAAAAAAAATCTGGATTATTCCAAACTCATGCAAATACATAAAAATAATTAATTTGTGTATTTTTTTTCTTCCAATAATGGTTTTCATTATTGAATTAAATACGCATTGACTGCTGAAAATTCAACTTTGCATCACAGGAATTAATTACATTTTAAAATATGTAATAAACAAAATAGGAAAGAGTTCTTTTAAATTATATACTGATGAAATATACTGAGTAATAACTGATTCAAAAAAAAAATTAAGTGCTTGTAATTAGATTGTTTTAAAATGCTAATAATCAGATTACAGTTACTGTTTAATGGATTACAAGTGAATAATTTACTGCTGCCATTGGGTGAATAATATATTTTTTTAAATTTCTCCCTAATTCTTCTTTTTCCTCTTTTAAATTTTCCTTTCTAAAAATCCAACTGTGTGTCATAATGTGTATCTCTGTTTATCTCATACTGTTATTATGTTCAATATAGAATGGCCATGAGATGCATACTGTAGTACATACTATCTAAATATATAAATAATGCAGTTTAAAGCAGCCGTGTGCAGATGCTGATGAATGAGACTGTAACACCAGTGTTTGATTGGATTATCCTCGTATTAACTGTTTATTGTTCAGTGATTGTGAATAGAATACAGATTATAGATCGGTGAAGCAGATATTCAATCCTTTAATAGCAGTTTAAACAGGAATACATGGAGCTCAACTGGATTTACTGAGAAAGTAAATTATTGTGTGTTCAGAATGATTAAAGAAAGCAGTATGAATGCAGGCACAAAATGCAAATAGAGTACACATGGAATATGCAGATGATCTACATTTGCAATACTGTATCCTATAATGCAGTGCACTTCACTCTTTAGGGACTTTGCATTTTTAGGACTTTATGGTTTTTAACATCTCTCTCTTTCTTGACTTAAAATAAGGTTCCTGTAGACACTGTTAGTGCAAAATAGTGATATTTGCTGTTACACTGCAAAAAAAAAAAAATTTTTTTTTTTTAGCATTTTGTCTTAATTCTTATTCTTAAATCAAAATACTAGCACAATGACTTTTAAGATATTAAGCCTTATTGTTTGAAAAAGTATCAAAACTAAGTGATTTTATGCTTAAAATGGGAAAAATACCTACCAATGAGGTCAGAAAAATACATTTAACCCTTGCACTGTACTGAAAATAATTATTTAAAAAATTGCTTGTCAGTCTCTCATTATGCTATATTATCGACAAATCTTGGATTCAATGTTTTGATGGTTTTCTTTTTTAATTTAAAGTGCATAAGCTCAGGGTCTACGATTAATCAGTTCCAAAAAGAAATACAAAACCTGTGCTGATTGAAACAAAAACATGTTTGCTAATAATATAGCATAACTTGACATTTATAAGCTATTTGTTTTGTTTTGGCTGGTCATTTTTGATCGGGAACATCACAAGGGAACAAATGCCAAAAATGTATTAATTTAAACTTTTTTATTTTTATTTTAACTTTTAGGTGGGGTTATAAGTCTGTATGTTTTAGTCCCAAATCCTCTAAAAATCACAGGGAAAACGAGTTTATTCTTCTGAGCTCATTGGCAGATTTAGTTTTCTTGTTTTGAGCTTAAACTCGCTTCATTTTAAATGTTTTTCAGAAAACAAGACACAATATCTTAAGCCATTTTGCTTCTCAAGTAAAGTATCTTTATTTTAAAAAATGTAGATATTTGTAGAAAACAAGTCAAAAATGATTTCTGCAGTGCAACTGCTAACAAGTTGAGCTATTTGCACTAAGTGTAAATCAACACTGCCTGATATTTAATGTGCATTATAGAATATACAGTATATGCATTACGCAGAATGCTAGTATTTCTTTCTGAACATACTCAGAGATGAAATATGGCTGCTGAAATATTGAAGAGCGCGAGGACGAATGCAGACAGGCACTGATTGAATTAGCAGTGTTTTTGCGGATCAATTCAAGGTCAGAGCGGCCTGCGAGAGGACCCAGTCAAATATTAGACGTTATAACCTGATTTAAATGAGCTTTCATCTTTCAGATGCGTTTGGTTTTAAATGCATATTGACCCAGATATGAGTGCGCTTTGTTGTAGAGACTAATGAGAACACGCCGGCCTCCGCTCGCTCTTAAATCAATAGAGTTAAGGTTAGAGTTTTAGGGGAATATTATTAGCTGAGCGCAGATTAAATGAGAACCAATAATGATTTTTGTGTTGAGAGGGTGATATTGATATCAGTAATAAATCATCTTGAAATGCTCACACAGTTGAAGAGATTGTGGTTAAAATTACATTGAACTCTAATGAATGAATCAGCATGTGTGTTGGATTTACAATAGAATTAGTATAGAGCTATAAATGAATTAGAAGAGCAGCTCAGATCGTCTGATGAGACATATTTGAGTTCCTGTTGAAATCTCTGACTTTTGATTTGCAAATGTTGCTGAGCAGAGTTTGAGACAGAGTTGAGATCTTGTCTGAAACTAAAAGAGATTATTGCAGTGTTTTTGGACATAATTGCTTGTTTTATTAAACTAGAGAAAATGTGAGAGAGTGCATGAGATGTTTTAGTCTCAGTGAGAATAGGATTTGATTTCAGAATACTTGTTTTCCTTTTTTAGGTATAAACCTTACTAATTTTGTGAAAAAGGTACCAAAGAAAGGTAATTTACATACCAACAAACAAACAAACAAATGAACGAATAAATGAATGAACGAATAAACTAATGAATGAACGAATGAACGAACAAATGAACAAACAAACGAACGATTGAATGAATGAACGAACGAATTAATGAATGAATGAACGAATGAACGAACAAATGAACAAACAAACGAACGAATGAATGAACGATTGAATGAATGAATGAATGAACGAACAAACAAATGAACAAACAAACGAACGAACGAACAAACGAACAAATGAATGAATGAATGAATGAACGAACAAATGAACAAACAAACGAACGA